CTATGATAAATGTTGGAAAAATTAATGCTATTTTTTTTTTAGCAAATAGTTTATTCATTTTGTTGCTGCTTTTTTTTTTTTTTGAAAACTGTTTCTGAAGCTATTTTTGAAGCTATAATTACGTATAGTTGACATTTCATTTCCACTGGACAACGGCAGTGATGAAGCCGATGAAAAACGACAGCAATGACGCTATATCGTCATCAGTGGCGATTTATATTGTTTATTAACTGAGAAATATGTATCCCGATGCATTCAAAAACTTCTGTTAACCAGATGCTTTTTAGCATTTAAAAAATTTATTTATGTTAATAGGTTCAAAATTTTTTTTTTTTTCTAGAGGAATGAGGTGAAGTAAAGAATAGTTTTTTTTTTTTTGGTTTTAGTATCAAAATCATCGTCACACTACTGTTATGAGTAATAACAGCAATTGAAATAGTCGATTTAGTAACTGTGTCAATGGTTTAGAGGTAATTTGATGCTCATTTGAATGCTTGAATAAAGTTCAACAAAAACAGCAGTGAAAAATTAGCAATGGTAGTTGAAAATTGACTTTTGAACTGTATCCATACAATCTGTTGTGTAAAAATTCATAGGTTTAATTTAGAGTGCGTAAAAAAAAGAAAGAAAAAGGAAATAAACAACGAAGAACTTAAAGTGGAAATTTTTTATCTTTTTTTTTTTATTCTGCCCTATTTTACCAGTTATTTATGGACGACAGTGGCCACTGATGCAGTAAACTGCTGCAGCAGCTGAAGGGGCAGAGTGCGTGGGCGGTAGGAAGTCGGGAGTCCGCGAAGACGGGTAGGAAGCAAAGAGGTGAAACCAATGTTTGCAGAAATTTTTTGCAGCAATTAAATGTGATGAAAAAGTTATTTTGGTGACCGGAGTAGCCGTGTTTAACAGGTGTACAAAAACTAATCAAATATTTGCTCAAATCTTAACTGAAGAAAGAAAAAAGCTTTATATCAATTCAATAAAAAAGAAGAAAAAAAAAAAAGCAGCAATGTTCATTAAGTGTAAAAAATAAAATGTAACACTAATGTTGATACGAGATTAGCAATAATTAGTTTTCTTTTCTTCAAAAATTAGTTTAGTTTAGTTTCAAGTTCAAACCTGCTTTATGTTTCGGATTTCCCAAAGAAAAAAGTTTCTACTGTCATGCGAGAGGAAAAGAAGGTGGAAAGCTTAAGCAGTCTGCGAAAGGGGAAGGCGGAGAGTAAATGCGTACGGGTATAAATGATATAAATTAATTTGCTAATAATAATTTGCTTGTCATGAAAAGTATTCATGCATTTACTCCTTTTTCTTTCTTTTGCTTTTTTTGTTCGTGTTTTTCTGACTCTTATTCACTTTTTTCCTCTTCAATTGTTTTAACCGCTTAACTGGTTGTTTGCAATTTTCTTGCTGAACAGATGAATGGATATATAGTAACCTTTAGGGATAATAAACGAAATTATTTGGATAAACGGACTTATACTTTCTTCTAAGCACCTTAAGCTAAACTGTGATGCAGTTTCACTTCCTGTTCTTTTTTTTTTTTTTCGAGTTATTCTTCCTTTCTTTTTTTTTTTCTTTGCAGTTCTGAAAGCAGAAGGAAAAACAGAAGTGAGAAATGATTGAAATTTTTACTAGAACGTTTCTTTTCATTTTGCATCTGTTATTAAACTGTTTATTCACTTTAAAAATTTTCCTA